ATATATATATAATATGAACATTTTTTTTATAAATACTAAAAACTATAGCAATGATCAAGTCACTTTGAATATGACTAAGAGGTCATGAAATTAAATATAAAGACAACCTCTTCACAATATAGAGGTTAGATTGTGTGTATAACCCTCGCCAAATAAAGAATTCACAAAAGCTTCATGCACCAACTATTTATTGCAACCCCAATACTAAAATGATAATGCATGATAATAATGCTAAAATATACATGAGGATAAGGATATTATGAAACAAGGAGGAGTTTCATAATAAAAAACCACCAAAATTTGCAAATTCATATCCAAGGAATACAACCCCATAAAGCAAAACAAGAGGATGTCATTTTGTAGGTTGACAGCTCGTTTTTTTTTTCTGTGCATTACAAGATTAAAATTAGAGAGCAGATATAGAGCAATGGTTAAGCGGTTTCCATTGTGGTCTAGAGGTCGTATTATCAAGACCCAAAAACAACTTTGCAATATAAGAGTGATACACAAGATGGGATATTCTTGAACCATCTAAACTAAAATGCTAAAATACCACATCATATTTCCATTAATAGAGAAGATCTTGCCAATATCAATAGTTAATTTAAATGATGATCTGAGTATAAATACTTCAAACCTTACAAGTACGATCCTCTGAGGATGATATAACAATTGAATTGCACAATCCGTGGCCTGAAATAATTGACGTTACACGTAAAGCATGCTCTGAAAAACTGTGTATATAAATATTCTCACCGGACTCCTTCATCGCATCATCAAAAATCCTATTGGAGAAATAAAAAGGCACAAAACTAATAAAAAAAGGATAATGAATTAAATCCATAAAAAAGGAAAAAAACATCAGAGAATATAATACATTAAGAGAGGCCAAACTCTGACGTTTCCATCCTCAGACCCAGAAATCAGTAGCGACTCATCCTCAGATAGAGTCAGGCAAGTGACAGATCTATAGTGTGCAATAAGCTTGTTGAGGAGCTTGCCACTCGCTACCTAAGCAAAAAAGAATATAAAAAGAATGGATTAAGGAAGAGTATAGGGTAAAGAGCAGAATAATTCCATTTAAGAAATCACCTCCCATATAAAAATAGCACCAGATGTACCCCCGCCAATAATGTAGGAGCCATCAGAATCAGAAATCAGAGGACCAATAGGCTCGGCCGGGAAGCTTCTAACTTGGACCTGTGGCTGAAAAAGAAGCAGACTGAACATCAAGAGATGATAAAAGTTCATTGGAGAAATTGATTTGGAGTTTTATAAACCTTTTCCGAAGACCAGAAAAAAATCGGAGCCGATGATGAAGAAGGGCTTTCACGGAGTTGTGAAGAGGCAAGGAACCGCTTGGAGACTGAGACTAATCCATGAGGAGGTGAGGCGCATGATCGATAGCGTAGCTGCTCAGCCCCCGAAACGAGGTCCCAACATCCAATACCAGTATCAACCGAGGAGGATGCCACGATCAACTCCATCCCAAAGCTTTCTCGTTGCAGAATCGGGCAAAAGACTGGGTTTAACCAAAACAAGCCTTTCCAGCCAATTGGCAACTGATTAAAAAACAACCAAATGCTCGGTCTTTTTTTCACTGAAGAATCGAACCATGGGCTGTACGGTGGCCGGTTTTAAGATGGCCAAAAACGCATTCGTAAATCCTACAGGTTCTTAAATCCCGTTTTTCAACCGCTTTGCATTGAATCTAGGATATGGTAAATCCCGTTGGAAGACGGATTTACGGGATTTGGACGAGTTAAAGCGCGCGAGAAGGGTTTGGGGTGGAGGAAAACGAGGGTTACCTTCCTAAATTCTTTCTGGTAGGAGCGGAACGGAAAGAGGAGAAAGATGGGAGTTTCGGAGGTCTTTCTGCATTGCGTTGTCGTTGCCTTCCCAGCTTCCGGCGGCGGCAAGTTTCGGATGGGAGAGGGAAGGGGAAGATGGTTTTGAGGCTTTAATTTAATTTTACTTATGAGTTAATTTATATAACTAATATGTTACTAAATAAATTATAATTAAATAAATGTACATGTAATTATTTAATCACTAATTAATAAACATAAATTATAAATTTAATTTAATAACTATAGTTTAACAAATACCTATTAAATTTTAATAATGAATGTTAAATTATTATTTAATATAATTTGTTTAAGCAAATATTATTAATAATTAATTTATTCAATAAATATTTAATTATTAATTAGTATAATTATAAATACAAAATTTAAATTAATAAATTGACTTAATAATTATATCATTATTATGTAATATTAAGCTTCCAACTTCTAAAAGAATTTGAATTTTATATTGAAATTTTTGAAGGCAAGTTTCTTATGTGCTAGATTTATGTTTTTTGACAGGGGCATACTTCAAGTTTTTTACTTACACACCAACAATTTTCAAATTTAACCCCCTCGGGATTTGGTAAATTCATGTTTGAATGATTTACTAAATTTAACTTAAACTAAATCTAGTGTATTTGATAGTAAAATTTAAATGACAAAAGGCCAAAAAATCAGCTTTATGGGGTTGTTTGATCGCTAGCATTAATCAAATTTTATAAGAGTTCTACAAATTTCTAAATCCCAATGTATGTTCTATTGGCCTAATCCGAGATTTACTAAATCACGTAGTTTAGTGCATTTACAAAATTTAGAAGAAATAATATTGGTCGATGCTCTAGTGCTACTTCACTTCCTTTTCTTGTTTGGCTAGAGTGTAAAGGGAAGCAAGACTTGGGCTTTGGACGTTGCAATCTCATTAATGCCTTCACTAATATTTCTCGTTGCCGCTTCAAGTTTATCCTTTTCTTTTCTTTACGTGGAAGTTTTCATGTGGAGGTTAGGGTCTGTTAGGGGCAACTGCAGCTTATTCGGCTTATCCTGATAAGCTGTTTATCATAATAATCTGGTGATAAATAGCTGATCTGGATAAGTTATATGTGTGTTCGGTTTGTGCGTTTAGAGAACAGTTTATTCTGAAATAATGCCTTCACTAATATTTCTCGTTGTCGCTTCAAGTTTATCCTTTTCTTTTCTTTACGTGGAATGTTTCAGGTGGAGGTTAGGGTCCGTTAGGGGCAGCTGCAGCTTATTCGGCTTATCCTGATAACTTGTTTATCCTAATAATCTGGTGCTAAGCAGCTGATCCGGATAAGTTATCTGTCTGTTCGGTTTATGCGTTTAGATAACAACTTATTCTAAAAAATTGACGAATTTACCCATGTTTTGGATAAGTTGTAGCTGTTTGGTTTGTGTGTTTTTGTAAACAACTGATTTGCAGATTTTTTTAGTTAAATGAACAATTTGGCACGTAAACTCGGTATTGTTCTAATTAACCCACTTCATAACTCATTTGACACATATAGGCCGCCAAAAATTTGATATTTATAAATTTACCAACCTTCTTAACTCAATCATAAAGGGAAGATAAAAGTGAAGATTCAAGAACATGAAAATACAAAATATTCTTAAAATTTAATGTTCAAATGTTAAGACAAGAAAATACTAAATATTTATATCACTTAAATATTTCGGAACACATCACATAAGCACATTTAACTGAACAAAAGGGGAATACACCTTAACACGCTAATATGTACTATAATGAGACCCAAAAAAAATAACATGTTAAAATTAAAGGAAAAAAAATCATAATATTGACTTTAAAATGCAGAAGAATATCACGATGCATGTTGCACAGTTCTGACACTCCAGAACCTTGAGCAAACCTGTCCGACTCGGATATCGTAGAAATGGAAGCACTTGAACCAGAAGCGGTGTTCTAAAATTTTGATACCGACGAACTCCGAGCAGCGATGTCCAGATGGGATATCATAGAAATGGCCATACTGTCGGCCCACCTAAAGAAATTGCAGTCCTCATGTCCTTGTGCCCACCGCGGGCACCTGTAGATTTGTCTCTCGTAGCTATGTGGCTGGCGTGACGTGAGTAGCTAGGACGGTAGCCTGCACCGGCAAATCCCTTGCCCGGACTTTCCTTAATATATGTAACTCATCGTCCTACAGTTATTGAAAAGAGAATAGTTCAATCAAAAAATTGAGAAAATATAGAAAATATACTTACTGAAGTATGGAGGCAACTGTTGCCGATAATAAAAATTTTGTGGCCATCGAAGCTGCCCCCCAGTAATAGCTAAAACCTAACTAAAGAGCATTTGCATTTACTTCCCTGACAAAGTAATTGTCATTCCACAGAGCCAAACATATTTGCATTTACTCAAGAACAGGTATTGTAATTTCAGCAAAGCACTCGAACCAAAAGCACTCAAATATCAGCAGCATGTAAATTGAACCTAAAGCACTCAAATAACAACAAAGCACTACAACAAATTCATTCAGCAATGTACTCATAGCTAACACCTAATTCATGGATTTAAAATGTATAAACAGTACTAAATTGTTCTCATCTCAAATGCTCAGAGATCTAAAATGTTTGCCCATGTATCAGATTCCTACAATTCACCTATCAATTACTCCATAATATGCATATATGCAACAAAGGATAGAGCCATGCTAACCAATTCATATGTGGCCATCTAATCATAAGCACAACATATATTAGAATATGGATCAAGAGCATCTGCAGAGTAACCCAACATCTACTAAAAGCATGCAAAAGCTACTTTTACATAAGCAAAAGCTTAGAATGTATAAAAGAAGCATAGCCCTATGTTCTATATATCATTTCAGTGACAAGTTAACTGAGCCACCAAATAGGTAACCACACAATTCTTATGCATACATTGCAACACAATTTTGATGCATTCATTATCACACAATTCTTATGCATTGCTTTTGTGGTGGGAAGACAAAATATCCCTCCAAATGAATATGTATCATACCCAGGTAACCATAAAAGAACTCCAAGTAAACATAGAAAAGAGAACTTCAGGTTGTCGAAGGGAGCAAAATCAAAATGAATATGTATCATACCCAATTCCTCTGCAGCAGCAACAAAAAAAAACTTCAGCCATGTAACTAAAATTGCATCCTCAGTAGAATATCAGAGAAGAAGGTAAAGTGTTTCACCAAAAGCTTTCAGTAGAAAATCAGAGAAGATGTTCAAAAGTATTAATTGTAGCCATATAACAGTCTATATATCTGCAATATATAGCAGCGAGATGTCAAATACTGAAACCAACTTATGTTAATAGCAGCCATATGTTTTCTGAAATACTGGAACCAGCATATGTTAATAGCAGCCATATAACAATGGAATTAACAGAAATGCCCACCCTTCTCAACAATAATGGATATATGAAGTGAATGCACAATATGAAAGTATGTATCCCCTTAACCGAATTAGCACAACAGAATAAGAAGATAAGAAGTGAATGCACTAAAAATATGTGACCCATAATAAGTTTGTGGAGGACAACACAGATACTAAAACATATTATAAGATTGCAAAAGGAATAAATTGAGTTCAATTAGGAGCGCATATAGCTTCTGTGATACGCTCCCTCAAAGCAGTTATCTTTGTTGCACCTTCGCCATCCTGGGTTTCCATAACTTTTTTCGGAATTGATTGTCCAACATGGAATTAAAATGCTTCAGCTGGGATATGCATCTCGTCAGCGTCAGCCATATTAAAGTCTGTATCTGATATAGATGGATGTCGTTTAATAAAATTATGGAGCATCATCGTGGTCACCATAATATGAACTTGTTTAGTAAAAGGGTATGTAGGCATATCGCAATGGATGACCCATTTATTATTTCATACACCAAATGTCCTTTCGATAACACCTCGCAAGGATGAGTGATATTTATTAAACATTTTCTTTCTACCACGAGCGATGTCACTTGCTCTCTGAAAATCTGGGAAGTGGTATTTGGTGTCTGGAAATGTCTTTAAATACTCTCTCTGTAAGGGATAACCAACATCCACCAAATAATATTTGTCTGTCACAAAAGACATTGCTTATTTTAGTTGATCCATACAAATGAAAAATGAATATTTTGAAAAAAATCAAGCAAACCTTAAGGTGGATGAGGGAAGCGCTGCATGCTATTGTTTGTGGCATAGGCAAAAAGAAGGTTGTCATGAGCACTACTTTCCCATCCAGCTATCACAAAGATGAAGCACATGTTAAAGTCACAAACGACCATAACATTTTGGGTTGGAGAACCGCATCGACGTATGTAGGCCACCTTCTCATCACTAGGGAGTTGGGAGTCCATGTGCGTACCATCAATTGCACCAATGCAGTTCTGTTTGTTTGCATTTGCTATTGATTTGAAGTAATTGTGGAAAATTAATGTTTAGAAGTAAGCATTATAGATTAAAGAAACTAACCTTGAAATACGGCATGTAATGTGGGTCATTAGCTATTTTTTCAGGAGTAGAACTGAATGACAGATCTTCTAGCTTAATTATTTTGATAGCTAAACTAATTAGTGCTTTCAATCCTTCAAAGAAGTATCGACTGATTGTCTCTGAAGAATGCTAGAATAGTTCCATAGCTCCTCTAATCAATTTAGTCTGAGATAAAATGTATAATGTAATTGCTAATACCTCCCTTGTGGTAGTTCTTGACAAACCTCCGAGCTCATGTTTGGTACGCATTTCATGCAAAAGATAAAAAAAATTGGTACGCTCATCCGGAATATGTTGCTGAACCTTATGGGATGTCCATCTAGCATTTCGCCTACCCATTTTGCCCCAATGAATGACGAGGTCATGCGTGGTGTTCGATCAATGGCAGAGCGATAGTATTCTAACAGTAATATAGCAATCGCAGGCGCCATTCTTTTGCAGCGTTCTCGATATCGATTCATCCTGGAAAAATAATTTGATATGAATAAACAAAGAAAAGAAGATAAAGGTAAAAAAAAATGCTAATATTTAAAAATCAAACAATTAACACA